TTTACAAGTGTAACTCTAATTTATAAGTGCAGTCATTTTTGAATATACATTTCATTTAGAGTACATGTATCTCACAATTTTCCACACATGATGACTAGTTTAACATTTCTTATAACTGTATGCAGAATTCAGATGCCTGTTCAATTTATGCAGGAAAGAAGCTCAATCCGTTCCCGCTTTTTGGAAGTGGAGGAGGAAACTCTGTGCCTTCTGGTTCTGCAACTGAAGAGGGAAAGCCAGTTCCAAATGAAGGTATTTAGTCTAGTTACTTTATGCACTTTGACTCGTCCTTTTGCTTTCAGTAGGTGTTTTGACTGTCATGCATGATTATTCAGTCGTTTTGCACAGCTTTCTAGTTCAGATAACTGATTTATTTACATTAGCACCATTGAAGGAAAGAAATGATGCTAAAGATAGTAGACATTTTCTTTTTCCTTCACTCTTGATGTGTAGTTTGACCATTTGTGATATTTTAATGCTGAGCAGAAGGGTGCTTTGATCTGCATTGGTTTCTTCGCAAGAGAAAAGTTACGGATGGAAGAAAGTTAACTGAGCCAGGTGGTGTTCTCTAATAGTTTCTTAACTAATACAATCACATATTGTTCCTTTGCTATAGCTGATCAAACTGCATACATTCTATACAGTTCCTTTCAAACCAATCAGAAATTGTTTCTTTGGTGACAGAGTACAAACATTATAACCTTTTCCCATGTTTTAAGTAAATTACTTTGGCTTCATAAGATCATCATGGTCTGTTTTCTAGGTGCAGGCTTGTTAGCTATGTGCCTATGTCTACTATTATCTATATTGATCGAATATGGCTTTGGGCACATTGACACGGGTGTGAATCTAGAAACCGGATTTCATCACCTAAATCTCTGGATTCTGGTATACCAATAGAAGTATGGATATGGGTGTTAAGATACAACCAATAAATCTATATTCTGACATATATAAGTATATGTTCCGAGATATAATTGATGTTATTAAATTAAAGCTAGTATAATTTTTTTTTTTGGTAAACACATAATATTTTGTTCATAAGTTATCTCGTATAATAGCAAAATGTTCTAGTACTTTATATGAAATATATATTATATGAGATAAACCAAAAATCAAGTCAAAATACGTTATCAACCTGAACTTCTTGGTAATAGGTGTAGTCAAAGCTTCAATGATAGGTTGAAGAAATCTGGTGTGGATTCCACACCTACACCCGCACCCAAATCATGTCGGATTGACATTGACATGGGTGCAACAAGAACTTTGAAGGATCTGGGCAACATGGCCTTCATTACTAAGACCACTCAACTCTTCGAATATACTGTCCTTTTCTACCTTGCACTCTCTTTCTTGCCCCTCCTCCACAAGTGCAACACAGAAAAATCAAAAAACTTCTAACTAGTGCCGACATACTAAGTGCAAAAACTTTTGTAGATTACATAAGTTTTAAAATCGAAGGGCTATTATCAAGCAGTTTATGGGGGACAATGCACTGCTTAGCTTCTCAAGCCTATATGTCTAACATTGTTAAATAATCTTGATATTGTTCTTTACCTGACCTATGTCACTCTCAATATTCGTGTAACAAGAAAAGATCTTGACCAAGCAAACAATAGTACTGATTTGGGTTCATCTCATAATCCGTTTGAACCATCAGCTGGGCATAACACTCATCCTTTTCCAAATGGAAGACAACCATCAGCCAAAGACGATGCAGCTGACCATAATTCCCCAACCGCTAAGAAACCTTCAGGAACTCCTCCAGCAGAAGGACCCACACATCCCGGCAGTATTTTTGATCTTGGAGAGGAAGGTAATGCAATTGAAGAGAAGAACTAATTCTCCTTACTACACTATTTTCTATCTTTATGGAGAAACTTTCCTGCTTTTGTGTTTGTTGCTCAACTTTCTCTTTAAGCCAGTTTCTACTTTTGAACATCTTGGTTTGTGTTTTCCATGTCCAAGGCCAGAAGTTCTACATGTACTCCTGTACTTCTCGAAAGTACGGTGAGCAGAAAACTTTTCCTTATATCTCTTTTCTTTCTACTTATCATTGGGAAACTACAAATTTTGCAGGTGGCTTCATTCCTGGGTCAATGCCTTCAAAGAAACCACCAAGTGAAATTAAAGAGAACAAAGGTGATAGTGCTGGAAAATATGTAGCAAAACATTTGTATTCCAGTACTTGTGTGGTCCATCAGATTTTTCGTATCCACTATGTTTATCTTTTCATCTAGTAGTCGCCCTAATTGGCCAGGGAGGGATGTGGTCATATCTTACACCAGTATTTCATGAAAAATCACACATGGCATTTGAATCTTATTAATTTCAGCATCTCTAGCTGTATTTGAGTCGAAAATGTTCAAAGTTCTTTCCTGTTGCGAAGCATTAGAGCTTAGGTGTTCATGAAATGTTAAAAAGTTTGTAGGGAAATATGTTTTGATAAGTAGCTATATAATGCAGGAGATGATTGGCGAATTCCTATGGATGACACAGGAGCTTCATCATCAACTGCAGATTACGGCAGTACACAAAGACCAGTACTTCCAGTTGAAGTTAAAGATTCCAAATCAGTGGAGATTGTAAAATGCATAGTATATGGAGGTTTAATAGAGTCAATTACAAGCTTGGGTGTGGTTTCCTCTGCAGCTGCTTCCGATGTTGACACAAGTAAGTAACTGAGACCTTTTTTTATGTTTAACTCTTCAATCTTCATTATCTTGGTTGGTTACTCCAATTGTAATCTAGGAGCTCTTTGTGAGAGTAATGAAGGATCTGTCACTTTAAAATATTAGAAGCATTATCTTTAAGGTTTATGTTTCTAGACCAAAGACATAATGTAATGTTCTTTATTGGTTAGAGGTGACTTCTGCGGATAGTGCTGATGCTTGTGACAAAGCTACTACACGTGAAAAACCAAGGCTTCTAAATCGTCTCTCTCCTAAAATCTTGACAGAATAAGAATGGCTTACTTATTGATTTATCTTGATACTGCAGTGAAGATCGTAACTATTGGAGTGGCAAATCTTATAGCTGGATTTTTTGTCATTTGTCAAAATGTGAGTATTCCAGTTCTGCTTTACAGTTGCTGACTGTTTCTTTCTACCTTCGATTCTCCTTCTGCTTTAGTTCTTGCTTCTTAATCTATTCTCAAATAAAATGGAAATTTGCAGTTGGTAGACTTGAAGTATAATGTTGGAGGAGGTTCCAATCTTAGTGATCAAGCAGATCGATACGGAGAGCTACTTGGCAAAAGAAAGCATTTCCTACTTCATGCTACTTTTGCCCTGTTATCATATTTTGTATTTGGCCTTGTCCCACCAGTAGTATATGGCTTCACGTTTCGTAAGAGTGACGACAGAGACTACAAGCTTATAGCAGTTGCAGCGGCTTCTCTTCTGTGCATTATCATACTTGCTGCTGCAAAGGCTTATACACAAGGAGCAAATAAGTTCAGTAGATACTTCAAGACTATTGTGTCCTATGTTACAGCTGCAGGTATGGCCTCGGGTGTTGGTTATGCAGCAGGCCATTTAATTAAGAGGCTCATGGATCACTTGGGATGGTTTGACTCAAACCCTGCACCCTCTCTTTTTTCCCCCGAGATGATTTCACAAAATCCAGTCTGGGCATCCTACTGACATCTTCTCCGTGTTGTTAATTCTTCTGTATTTTCCTCTTCGTTCTTTGTAAGCTTTTCGTACCTCTGAGAATTTGGCTGTTTCCTTTGGGAATTTTGAGTGAGCGAGTGAGTTTTGTATTGGTATTTGGTTGTTCCTACGTGATATTCTGATGATGTTTTTGTAGCCCTGCTTGTGCTATTCAACTCTGATATTCTGATGATGTTTCTGCTCGGGCTAATTGATTTGAATTATCTATTTGAGTAAAATTAAATATTTATATCAAGTTATCCTTATTAATCACAATCATTATAACTGAAATCCAACTTGCTCATAAAGAACTGGAACAGTTTACTGTAATGATCGTATCAAATAAGAAAGGGAAATACCAAAAAAGGAAATGCAGAGAGAATCAAGGTTTTCTCAGGTAGTGAATTTCCATCATTCATCTCAAACACGGAGTGCTTATATTAATTAGTTCATGTTTAAGAACCTTTGGTAATTTTGATGCGAAATAATGGAATGAGATGTAAGAAAGACTTCCATTTTATGAGTGCATACTATATTGAATACATACGGTTTGACACTTAAAGTTGCTACGATTTTTTCATTTAGACACCTCAAGTAGGCCTTATTCCGATTGAACACTTGTAGTAGACTCAAAATATACCAATCGGACACATCTCGCTAACATGGTTGATAGCGTGAGTTGCAAACCAATTAGCAAAAAAGAAAGATCCTTTTGCCTCTTCCAATGATACGAACATTTATGTGACTGACTAAAATTGTATCAAGGCATAAATCTATATAGATTACCGAAAAAGTTAAAAACTTGTGAATTGCACTCCATAACACGCCTAATTTTACTGTGTAAGTCTGTTACATAAAGATAGGCACGAACTAAAGACTAATTACTGTGCAGTATTCATTTCTTTTACTTTGTCACCTAACAAGAACGATAAACAGCCATGGCGCAGTCTTTAGCTAGCAAAAGTGCCGTTGGACTCTTGTTAAAGATACCACTGAAATCTTCTTCTGCAACATGAAGTGCATAAAAAGACATACAAAACCCAGACAAGATCAATATACCTTGAATTTAGCACCTACTATGATGGCCCTTATTCCGTCCCTACACAGTGTATTACTATCGGCCCTACCAAGCAACATCTACCTATACCAGCTCGATCAAGAGATAGGGAGGGATTGAAATCAGTTTTGTTCTTTGTATTCAATAAGTATTGCATGACCTGATTAAATCAAATAACAGTGGGTTGCGGGAGGGTCCTTTTAACTAGATGACTCGTCGGATAGTTGGAGGGGGGCTTCCTTGGAAAAAAGAACTTAAATTATAACTGTTTCAGTCTCATAGATCCTCTGCTGTATAGCAGAAATTATTAGACTGCCTATACCAAAATTTTCTTCTTGTTCTTGGATTTCCTTTGCACATGTAGTCACATTATATAGTTACAGTGTAAGCCCAAAAAAAGGAGAGCTTGACTTAAAGAATGAATTTATCTAAAGTTTGTAAATCAGAAATTCCATCTTGGTGATGAATTTACAGCACTTTGACGAGGTCTAGTTGGTGGCTCTAAGCTGTTTCGTCTAATTGGTGGCTCTAAGTTGTTTCTTTTCTTCATGATTGAAGACACTGTTGGGCTGTAATAGTCATTGCTCCTTTGTGAAGTTGCTCCTTGGGAGTAGACCTTTCTTCCTTGCATACCGCTCCTTTGTTGTTCTAGCATTGCTCGACGAGCACCCGAATTATTTTGGACTGTTCCCCACCTATTGTAGTTCACACAACTTTGGCTCCTCCCTACTTGCTGAAACCTTCCCTCTCTTGGACTTGGAATATTTCGGCTTTCAGCAGTTTCAGCAGAGTACATTGTTATCTGTCCATCACTGCTGTATCCATTTTCCATTTCCAACATCTTTATAGGAGAAGAACTTGATTGAACTTCACTCTGGACCCCGTTTACGGATCCAGTTGAAGCAATCTCAGCATCTGCCACCGGGTTGGACTGCCACATATCATTTGGTTTGTCTTCTCTTACTGGCTGCTGCAAGGGAGGTTTGTTGACAAAATTTTCACCAAAGCTGGATGTGATTTTTCTGGCAGGTTGAGCCGAATCAGGAAATTTGGCAATCCTTGGTGGGAAGTTAATATTCAAAAGCTGGATGTGAGTACCTTCCTTCTTCCTAACTGGTACTGAAGTTAAATTTGGTGACTCGTAAATTTCAGGAGTTCGAATTCCATGTACAGCATGAGGATCAGTAGTTAATGCTTCGTCTTCCATATTAGTTGCAACGGCAGAACAGCTTGGTCCAGAGTGCTCTCTAGGCTTTGACAATCGGTTCGATGATGATGGAGTCTCTCCATTTTCAGCTTCAGTTGACTTAAAAACACGCCTCATTGTGAAGGAAGCACATGAATGCTCACTCTTTTGACCAGCTGACATTAACCGAATTATTGGTAACTTGGGTTTATTGATGTCGTCAAGGTTTCCCTCCCAATGCTGGTTTAACCAGTCACATATGATGGGGATGGGTATACCGAATTGCATGGGACAGACCTTCTTTGACGATGAAGAGGATGGTGAAGCGGATGACGATTTTGAGTGTGAGGATGTTGCAAGCTTCATAGGGTCACATACAATGAACGCAAGATTGCCATGAACATCAAAACCAGCAGTACCTGGGCTCCAACTTATGCCATCAGTTGACAGCTTTATAAGATTATCAGTCGCTATTACTACTTTTCCTTCACCAACAGTCAACTCTTTTTTCTCGCTATACCCAAGGAGGTAAACCACATTACCCAGCTCCAGACTAGGTTTGGAACAGGTTTTAAGGTAGTGAGGCTGCTGAACATGTGCATTTGCGTCTCCATCCATGACATCAAGGCCCACTATTGTCAGATCTAATACAGAACTGGTAATAAAGAATCTGCAAACAAATGGGTACATAATCAGATGCATAAAATTGAAGCAGCTAGAAGAAAGCAGAACTTGTGTTAACAATGAGCAAAAATATAAAGGACTTGAATGCACAAAAGCATTCACTCATCAGAAAGCAAAATAATTTTAGAACGTATTGAATGTAACAAACTAGCGGAGTGCCAAAATGCAAAAAACTTCTAAATTATCATCGCAGCCAATTGATTTCGAACCTTTTATGATGCTAAGCAGGTAGGAAGAGCAAACTGAGCATTCTCCCCCACCCCAAACCCTAAAAGCTGCTTATTTTACGCTACTGTGCAATCACTTTTAGCTCAGATACTTCTTTTATGCTTTACAGTTCAGGAGGCACGTAGAGGTAGACTGCCGTATACCAATTTTCCATTCAACTCCAAAATGTCGCATCATATTAAAATTTAAAATATTTTGTTGCTAACACATAACAGCCTGTAAATTATATTCCAACCTGATTTAAGCTAATTAATCTTGAGTTGGTAGAACCAGCATAAGAAATAAAACAAGTGACTTTTGTATATCTGCAACTTTTTAATTCATTAGACATTATTTGAATCCAGAAGCGTCAACAACTTATGATGATCTTATAGTCTAAGTTGCTCGGAAGCAGCTCGAAATCTAGATAAGCCTAGATTTTCAAGAAAGCATCACATTCTAGTAAACTATTTTGCACATGATGATACTTCATCCTATCCATCAAGTTTCTCCATCTCTCTGTGACATAGATCACACCACGCAAAACTTGATTCGCACGGATTTCTCAACTTTGTTTTCAATATGCTACACGTATTGTTAAGCTGCTTTCTTTTCCTATAGATTAAACCAGTGTACACACACAAGCAAGCAACCAGTTCCGTTCTGCAAATTGTACATCAGTCATGACCCATCTGATAACCTCCATTTTGGAACACCAAAAAGGGCAGCCCGGTGCACAAAGCATCTCGCATTCCCGCATGATCTGTGGAAGGGCCGCACCTCAAAGGGTATGAAGTAGCCAGTCTACTCTAATGCAAGTATTGGTGGCGGCTTCCACGGCTCGAACCCGTACCGTTGCTCCAACTAGCTTACCAGATATCATAAATTCATAATTGCGTTAATTAAAAATAAGTTAACAAAATCGTCAGTTTTCTTGAAGTGTCTAAATCAGAAAAGCACTACTAGTAAACTTCAATAATGTGATCGATTAAGTTGGACTAGGAAATCTCAATCTCAAATCCATATCTAATTTTACGATATACTAAAGTTTGACAACCTTGTTCGTATTATTTATGTTAACTTCAAATTTCTGCGACCCTAGGAACAAGAAGCTCCACAAAACAATCATCAGAAGCACACAGTACATACAACTTTGTCGTAGAAGCTTGACCAACTATTTATGAAACTCCAACATCTTTTCCTTAATAGTTAATAGACAAACTAATTACTAACATGTGTCCGGTGATGCTAATTATCCCTTTTGATAACATCAGTGCTGGTAAGCTTTTTATTTTATTCATTTTCCCTCTATAGGATGGTACAGGCCAAATTCAAAACACAAATACAAACTTATAAGCTTCTGCCTTCTGCTAGTATGAAGCAATTCCATGCATTAACAATGAAAGAGGCTTAATAGAAAAAAATCAGGCAGAACATTGACCATTTTTCTGCTGAGTTAGGTACTTAGCAACAGCTTCCATCATGATAACAAAAGCTTGAATACTAACAAATGAAACATTAGCAGCTGCTTCTTCCTTGACCTCGTACTCAATTGTGGCTTTGGTGATGCATGTTGTTTCATCCTTTTCTATGATATCAAAGCGGACCAGAAAGAATGTGAATCCGTGATCGAGAAGCCCACCTTCCACTGCCATAGCTACTTTGACCCGCTTCTCATCATCCACAACGATAAATTTTTCCTTAGCACAGGTATACAGCGGAGTTCCCGGTGGAAAGGTTAGTTTGAGGACTGTCCCAACACCGCCATCGCCTTCAATTATGTCAACTTTGTGTAGGATATGTGGGAGCTCTTTGACCACAATATCGGCCAGTTGAAGCGTGCCATAGACCTTCCAAGCTTCACTGGCAGCCGCAGCTACTTCAATCTCTTCAGAAACCGTTCCGAACATAATTTTTGGTGGTTCTAAGACTACTAATTCTAGGCGGAAGAAGCAATAAAGAGAAAAGCCTTAAATTACTGAATATGCTCTTTCATGCACCTCTCTAAATATATATAAAGGCTACAACTAAAATGGTCTCAAATTCCACATCAAGACAAAGGTGCACACAAAGAGAATATAGATTCATAGATTCCAAAAACTGTAACAGCCGGCCGGCCGGCCAGTTATTCAATGCCTTTTTAGTAACAACCAACATTTTGCTCAACTATGCTGGCCTAAACAACTAACTAAGTTTATAAGTAGTAATCTAATTAACAGAACCCATAGACAAAGGTAAAGCTTTTATCTTTAGAAACAACACTACAATAATAGTAAGAAGAAAACTAGTAAAAAGGGAAAGGGGGCAGGACCTGTTAGGGAAAAGGGAAGAAGCGACGCCGTTTTGAAGTTGGATCTCAGCAGCTTCAGCAGCAGCAACAGAAGGGAGAATAAGGTGAGTAGTGAGCAAAAGATTCCTGTGAATCAAGAAACCAGTGCCACTAGCAGCTATGTGGGCCATAGAAGGACCTTTAGTAGAAAAAATAGAAGCTTTCATTCTCTCAGACTTGCCACCTCCATTACAGAAACACCAAGTATCTACCAAAACCCCCATTTTTGGTTTTTGGGGTAATTTTCGTTTCAACAATAATGGGGTAATTTTAGATCCAGAATTAAAAGCTAAAGTTGCATTTTTCTTTTAGCAAGCAATGTGTGTCTTTCTGCTGTATCATTGATAGAGTAAAATACTACAGAGAGGAGTTTTGGTTATTTTTTAGCTGTTGTTTGCAGAAAAATGGTGTGACAAGAAGCTTAAAATGGGACCTTTGTTTGTTATCCTAAGTACAGGAGAAAATGTAATGTCTTGTCCGGCAAAGGAAGAAGACGAGACTAGAGTGAAACAGGGCTAATTCTCGGGGTCTTTTTCTTTCTTTTTTATTATTAGGGAGGGTTTTCGGAATATTTATGGACAAAATATAAATAAATATTTGAAGCTCCATTTTATAAAAAATTTAACTTAGAAAATACTACAACATTTTTGGATTTTTTTGGGTAACTAATTTAATTTTATTAATCACCAAAGAAATATTTACAATTTCACAGCTAAGCTCACACAGCTAGCTATCTCATTAAGTGACTATAGGATACTGCCCAGTAAAATGTTATATCAATATCATACCTAATTAAATTCGATATGGTTCGGTTTTTCTCCTTTCGACTTCGGTTTATTCGGTTCAGTAACTTCTGTTTATTCATTTTGAATACTAACTAGTGCGTAGAGTCATAAACTGTAATATTCTTAATTAAAGTACTCAAAAGTACAAAACTAAAAATGTTTGTTGACAAATGTTTTGTCCAAAACAAGCAAATATTACCCGAGAGTGAGAAACCAATACATAAAGAAATAAATTTGATCATTAGAAATGTCTTAATTGATGAAATTAGAGAATAAAGGAAAGTAAAATTTTAGTTTTTATAATATATATTTCGGTACGGTACCGGTATTTCAGTATTTCATTTTAAAATACCAAATACCATACCTAATACCAATTATTTTTAAAATTTAAATCAAATACCATACCGAATACCATAATATTAAATACCAAATATCAAAATTTGCGATTTCGGTATGGTAATTCGGTATTTATCAAATTATGCACAGCCCTACTGCCCAACCATTTCCAACTAATAGCCTGTTTGGCCAAGCTTCTTTTGGCCAAAAGTGCTTTTTTTTTTGGCCAAAAGCACTTTTGGCCAAAAACTGAGGTGTTTGGCCAAGCTTTTGGAAGGAAAAAAAAGTAATTTTGAGTAGAAGCAGAAGCAGTTTTGGAGAAGCAGAAAAAAGTAGCTTCTCTCCAAAAGCTTTGTTTTAGAAGCACTTTTGAGAAAAATACACTTAGAAGCAGTTTTTTAAAGCTTGGCCAAACACTAATTGCTGCTCAGAAGTATTTTTCAAACTAATTAGCCAAACACAAACTGCTTCTCACCAAAAAAGTACTTTGAGAAAAACACTTTTGAAAAAAAACACTTCTCAAAATAGGCTGATTTTTGCAGCTTGGCCAAACGGACTATAAGTACTTGTAACTATCTGCAAAAGAAATGACAAGAAGCTATGCAGCCTATTTTTTGGATTTTTAATATTAAGAAATTGAAATTGTCCGTAAAGTTTCTAAATATGTGTTATTATGTATGTAGATCCTGCTATTCTTTTACCGACGAACAAAGTGTGATTAATCTCTCATTTTTTATGGACGAACAAATTAAATTTTTTATTTCTCCTCTATTTGAGATTTGAGAAATTTTAATAATTACTTTGTAGGGATATAATGTCCTCACAAGTCACAACTGACCAAATTTCAGTACAGAATAATCAATGATCAGAGAATGACTGAGAAATAATTGAATACCAAACGGTTTACTAACAATATTGGCTCGATAATGATGTACCCTAGACATCATTTAGAGGGAACCCTCTTCCTTTTCATGTTCTACTCCATTAGAGAAAAGATTCTTTAAGACTAAACTGTTGAGACTATTAAATTTGCAACCAATTTCACTTTCAAATTTAAAAAGTATGAGCACATTTTCAAGATTAAATATAACCTCAAAAACGTTAGCTTATTTTGCATATTAGTTGCTTTACAATACTTACCCCTAGTTAACCAAACTATGACATTTTTAGGTAGGGGCGAAACAAAAAAAAAAAAAAAAACTTGAGTGAACACTCTCCGATATGAGTTGTTAAGGTGCTTTTTTTAATTCTAACATAGGCAAGAAAATTATTATTTTTCGATAATTACTAGTTAGTCCAGTATGTAAATAAGTAATCAAATATGAGAAGAAAACACACAAACCTATCATAACATGTTCAACTAAAAGTAGAAGAATGCCAACCAAGAGAAAACGGTCTCTTCAGAAAACAACAACAGTCAATTATTCTTCTTCTTTTAATTTTAAGAATCTTCTTTCACGTGTTTGAGTTTATGCGCCATTCTTCTTTCACGCACTATAGTGCTAAAACAACAATAGGCTAGCACAATCACAATGTTTACAATGCCATAAACATCGAGGACATTCATCTATTTTGCATTCTAGTTAAACAAAACATTACATTTTTAGCTAGAGTGCAATAAAACTTTAAAGTTATCACGACCCAAAATCCCCAATCATGGAATCGTGATGACGCCGAACAACCACTTGTTGTGCAAGCCAACATTAGCTAAACATTTATTCAATTCAACAATTTAAAAGTAAAGGATTAAGAGATTAAGACTGAAACACTTTGTAATATAATAATCTGAAACTAACGTAGTCTAGTCTAACCCAGAAACTGGTGTCACAAGTACATGAGCCACTAGATTACTATAAATAGAGTTTGAAATAAAGTGTAATTGTCTGAAACAAAATAAACAGTAAAATAAAGAGGATGGGAACTTCTGGATCCGCAAACGCCGTGCAGCTCTACCTCAAGTCTTCAAAGAGCGGGTTCGAGCTATCTCCACTATACAGTAAAATAAAGACGAACGTTTGTTTAAGAGAGGGAGAATATAACAACTCGACTGGTCGTTTTGTGTATTTGAGCCTCATTTCCCCTTTTGAAGCTTCCCATATGTGTATTTGTGGTTTTATGACTTGCGGGGATGGTTGATTTCATTTCGGGGAAGTTTTGGAATGATTAGTTCTTGGTTTAGAAGCTTAAGTTGAAAATATTGATAAAGGTTTGAATTTTGTGAAAACGACACCAGAACAGTATTTTGAGGGTTCTAATAGGTTCGTATGGTAATTTTGAACTTAGGCGTATGCCCAGAATTTGATCCGGAGGTTCCTATGTTGATTTGGCTTGTTTTTCCGAAAGATGGCAATTTGAAGGTTTAGAAATTTCCTAAGTTTGACCATAGGTTGATTTTATGGCTATGGGATTCAAATTTTGGTTTCGAAACTTGTAATAGGTTCTTGTCCGAAAAATTTAGTGTCATTCCGAGTTGGTTTGATAGGAATCGGGCGCTTGGATGTGATTCTAGAGATTATTGAGTTCATTGTAAAATTTCATGTGTTTTGATGTCAGATTCGTGATTCTAGATGTTATTTTAATGTTTTGATTGCGTGATCGAGTTCGTATGATATTTTTAGACTTGTGTAGATGTTTGTTGAGCCCTGTGTGCTCGGGTGAGTTTCGAACGTGTTTCGGATTGACTTGGACTTGTTTCAGGTTGTTGGTGCTGCAGTTATCTCAATTGCGAGCACTAGCATCGCAATTGCAAATAGGGAAGGGGGGCTTCAGGTGTCGCAAATGTGATACCTTGATCCCATTTGTGAAGTTAACATAAGGCTGGGTCAGGTCGCATTTGCCAATAGGCTGCAATCGCAATTGCGAAGCCCATAGTCGTAATTGCCACATCTTTATAGGTTGGCGGGGTTCTATTTTGCGATCCCTGTGTCGCATTCGTGAGGGGTCGCAATTATGAACCCAGATCACATTTGCGACATCCGCGGCTGAATAAAAGTTTGGGATTTCGTGACTTAGCTTCATTTATCACATTTTTGAGCCCTAGACTCGGTGGGAGACGATATTAGGAGGATATTTTCATGCACAATTAATGGGTAAGTTATTTTGATACACTTTTGATTATATCACATGATTATTTATGAGATTTAACATCTATTATGAAATTTGAAGAGAAATTTTGGGAAATTTTGACTATGTTTTGAAAAATAAAAATTTGAGATTTGAGAGTCGAATTGAACTCGGATTTGAAAACAAAACACATATATAACTCGTAGGGTTATAGGTAGTCGAGATCTACCCTTTGACTCGGATTTTGTCCGAACGAGACCCCGAGTTGACTTTTGAGGAATTGTATAAAAATCTTAACTTTATCTATTGAAAGTGATTTCTCTTGCATTGTTAGATATTATTAAGTCCTTTTTGGCTAGATTTGAGTCGAGCTGAGGTTAATTTTAAGGGAAAGCGTTGTTAGAGTATTGAATTGGCTTAATTGAAGTAAGTATCATGCCTAATCTTATGGGGGGGAGGGGGGGGTAGGGGAGGGGGAACTACTCCGAAAGATTTGGTCTAATTGTATTATTTAAATTATATGAAAGACGTGTACATGAAGTGAGGAGTGTGTATATGGGTTTATATGTGGTAGTTGACCGGTTTAGATTCTTAGGCTATTAATATGCCTTGTATTGAAGTTTTTGTTATATGAAACACGTTTCATTGTTGAGAGATTCTCTGTTTCATTGTATTGTTGTTGTATTTATTGTATACGTTGTTATTGAGTCGTGAGCTATATGTTGTTGTGATATTGATATTGTTGTTGAGGCATATGAGCACGTGGTGTGTGGATGATTGTTGTGTTGTAATTGAGATGCGCATGCAGCGGCATAAGGGTGGTGTGAATTGATGCGCATGCGGTGAGATAAAGGGAATTTATGCGCGTGTTGCTAATAAGGAAAATTACTTCATTTTGAAGCACACGCGGTGAGATAAGGGGGCTTATGCGCGTAAAGCTATTTCGGGAAAATATTTTTGAAAAAATGTGAGACTCATGCGGTGTTATAAGGAAGATTTGTAATTTGTGACTTGCGAATTGTGATTATGAGGTGTGGTATCTCGGGGAGATTCTTGTTGTAAATTCTGTATTGGAACGACTTGATAATTTGAATTGCTATTGTTTTTCTTAATTTATTTCACTTGTATTTCAACTTTATTTTGATTATTTTGTTGTTTTATCACATGTTTAGTCTTTGTTGTCACTTATCGATTTTGTTTCCTTCGTTAGCTTTATACTTATATTCCGTAAAGGTTTTCATGTCTAGTGAGTGTTTTGACTTGTACCTCGTCACTACTCCATCGAGGTTAGTCTTGATACTTAATGGGTACCAATTGTGGTATACTCATACTATGCTTCTGC